TAAAATAAAAAGATATAAGTGTTTTTAGACGAACGATTTTTTAGTTAATTTTTGTGCAATGGATTTGCAGAAAGAGTTTTTGTTTCATCTTAATAAAAATAATAATAATAATACAATAAAAATAATAATAATAATAATATTTTTTTAGGAGATGTTCCTCAAGAACTTCAAGATCTTACCAAAATTGAGGAGATGTTAATTGCTTAAGTCTTCACCATTATATCAGTTTACAATTTGTGTAGAGGCCAGTATGCATATCATGGTAATGTTATTAACTTTTTTCAAGATGTACAAGGATTTGCAACTCGCCTTTCCTATCACCCAAATTTGATAAATATGCTTGTTGTACAATAGTATTCTGCTAATAGATCAAGTTTCTATAATTTTCAAGTCCATTGAAATAAAGTTTCTCAGCTTTATATTGGCTAAAAAACAATAATATTTATTATAATGATATTGAAATCTTTAATGATATATTATTATCCTTACTTGAAAATAGCTCAATTATAGACCAACTTCTATAGATCTCTTATGATCATTCTCAAGAAAATAAAAGTATGTCAGATGAACAAGCAGAAGTTTTACCTGTTAATGAAAATAATGAAAATGAAGATTTTATTTTACAAATCTTTGTTTCTGCACTGCCAACTGGATTTAGTAAAAATGATACAATTAACAATATGCTAAATTGTATGCAGCAGAATGTTTATCAAAATAAAAATTCAACAATTGACTGATCTCATATTGACAACAATTCTATAGATGAGTTTTGTATAGTAGGATATATTATATAAGCATTTCTTACACTTTTCCTTCAAGGCATTGCTAATTTTCATGTGAATTAAATAAGAGAAGTAAAACCAGCTAAATACTTTTAACATCTTTTCAAGTATAAAGATAGTCACTTTGCCTGTCATCTGTGCTAATATTACTTTGTATTAAATTCCTTAATCAATAGAGAGCACTAGCAGAAGGATGAATATTTGTTAAATAGAATTTAGAGAAAGGATGACTCATCATAGCAGAAGTTCAAGAATTGCAGCAAACTGATCCACATTAGGCAGACAGAGTAATAAAATATAGTGAAAGTTTGCATAGTACTCATTAATATTGGGCACAATGTTGTACTGAACTTTCAGACATGATAAAGCAATTAGGCTCTCAAGGAATGGTGTTTTTTACCTTTAGTGCTGCAAATATGCACTAACATAAACTTCACAGTTTAATGCAAATAGAATAAATGTTGCCAAAGAAACTGATCAAGAAGCTAAAAGACATAAATATAAAGACCTTATAGAAAATCTACACATTACAGCATAGTTTTTTGAGAAAAGATTCAAAGTTTTTTTTAAAAAGCTTTTGATTCAGAAATGAAAACTAGTTGATTGGTGGTATCACTTTGAATAGCAGCACCATGAAAGTGTTCATGTTCACAGAATTGCAATTTAAAAAGAGATACCTAAAATTCAATAGAAAAGCATAAATGTAAACCAAGAGTACATAAAAGAAATAGTATATCACCTAAACTCATTAGTCACAACTATTAACCCAGAGTTAAATGCACTAGTACCAGTTCATCATCTATGCAAAAATGTCCTATAAAATTAATGATAGGTTGCAAGACTACATAGAGCTCATAAACAAATTACAACATCACATATGTTGCAGTGCTTTATACTGTTTAAGAATTAATAAGCAAACTGGTTAACAATCCTATAAATTTGGTTTTTCAAAAGAACTTAGTGATCAAACTACTGTTTAACTTGATAAACATGGTTATCCAGTGCTTATTACAGCCAGAAATAATCCTCTAATAAACCCACATAATCATCTTCAACTTAAAGAATGAAGGGCAAATGTTAATTTTAAACCTATACTTACAATTCATACAGCTTTACAATATGTTTTTAAATATACAAGAAAGGCTGAACCAAGATCTTTGGCATTTTCTGAAATTTTAGATAGAGCTCTTTATAGTAATAGTTCTAATAATTCATTAATTATAGCATTTCAAAAATTACTTCTTCATACTGTAACAGAACATGATTATTTTGTCCAAGAAACTTGTTATTTGCTTCTTGGAATCCCTTTTTACAAATGTAGCTAAAACTTTGTTATTTTAAATCACAATAAAGAAGCACCTTGCTGGCTCTATAGTAGTGATGATGATGATAATAAAAATAATGAAAAAATCAATTGTGTTAGAAAAACTGGACTCTTACCTTTATAGTTGTATTGGAACAGGCCAGTTGAACTTAGAGAACTTTTACTGTTTTAACTATATCTGGAATATAAATTTGTCAAAAGAAAATAGATAAAATGCAATAAAACAAATATTGTACATGTTTGAGCATGCTTTTCACCTTTATGAAATTGCCCTTATTGGAAAGATTTCTGTCATATAAAAGTTCTTTTTCATATTTGTTACAAATATCTTTAACAACTTACTAATAATAATACTCTATCATAAAAAAAACTATATAAATGCTATCAGCAAGAAATTAATTTATGTTCTGAAGATTTAATTAGTTTTGCTATAAACAGTCTTGAAGAAAATTGTAATGACAGTAGTAATGATAATAATATGCAAGAAACAAATGAAAATGATAAAGACTATGAAGAAAATTGACCTAGAAAGATGTCCCTAACAGAGATAGATCCAAGCATGTTCATGCATTTTTTTTCTGATCTTGGTTTGTAAAACATCAATAGAGATTATGATTGGGTTGGTCATAGTTAAAGGCAATATCCTAATCTTGAGAATATTGATAACTTTATTAATAAAGCATGTGGTAATGCAGTGAACTTAGAGAGTAAATATTTTGAAATAATTAATCATGAAACTTTAAATAAGAAACAAAGAATAGTAATTAAAAGGATAGAATCTCATTATAATATGATTATTTTAGGCCAGCAAGTAGAACTATTATGAATATTAGTAATAGATACTGCAGGAACTAAAAGTCATATCTTATCAAAGCAATTAGAAGTCAACCTTATTAGTTAGCAAAACAAAATAGTTTACCTAAAAACAATTTACCAATATCAATAGTGCTTGCTCCACTGGAGTTGCTACTTTTAATATTAATGGCAGTACTATTTATTCTGTTTCTTCTATTCCAGTTGGTAGCAAGAACTTTGATCTAGCAGATGAATGATTAAAAAGACTTCAAAATAAATTACAAAATGTGTTATATATAATTATTAATAAAATAAGTATGTTAGAATGCTGATTTTTTGTTTTAATTGACTTTTAACTTCACTAGACCTTTTCAGACTGTTGTAATATTTTTTTTTATAGTTGTCAATTTTCTTTATTGGTGACTTCTGACAACTTCCTCCAGTATGTGACTTTCAATATATGCTAAGAACTCTCATTTATCTAATTCCATATCTGAAGATGGATGCATAGTTTATAACCAAATTTGAAAAATTTAGAAGCTTAACATTGTACAGCACCAAGCTTAGAATTCACTATTGCAATGCTAATTTAGAGATATTCTCTTGCATCTGCATAATAGTGAATCAACCCAATTAGACTAGGAAAAGTTGATGATACAGCTTCTAGAACATTTACCTAGATCTGAACAAGAAATCTTTTCAAATGCAACTTGCCTTTTAACAAAATAGAATGACATTAATAAAGTTAATTATTACAAGTTTGTTTGTTAAAGCACCAGTTATCAAAATTTGTGCTGTTTACAACAACAATAAGGCTAAGAAGGCTGATTCAGATGAGGATAAAGGTCTTAATGCAGTAATACTACTTGCAAAGGGAGCATGAGTTATGCTTAATACAAACCTTTGACTGCTGCCAGTCTTGCAATATTGCAATAGGAACTATTGAAGATATTATTTTCAAAGATACTTATACTTCATCTTCTCTCTTTAGCATAGTTCCAGTAGTCTTTAACAAATATAATATGCCTACTATTAGTACATCAAAGGCATTTATATAGTCCTAATTGCTCTGTACATAATTATAAGAAGATAAATTCAGAATATGTTCACATATACAAATTTCTCTTTCTTTGCATAGGCCATCACAGTACACAAGTTTCAGGATTTAACCTTACCAAAAGCTATTATTGATATTGAAAATAATAAGTTTGCAGCTGGTCTATTATTTGTCACAGTATCCATAGTTCAGTCTCTTAATAATATAATCTTCAAGCTCTTTGCATTCGAAAGACTTTAATGTATAAAAAAATGTAAAAGGCTTTGAGAATGAATTTTTAAGAAAAAGCAATTAGTAAGTAAAAGAATAAAAAATCTTCAAAGATTTGTTTATAATCTGTAAACTCAGCTGTAACAAAATATAAATAAAACTTATAAATTTACTAGAGTGTTTATTAACCAGACTTTCAATCACAACTGTTTTCATAAATTCTAAAATGTTCTTATAAATTCTGGAACAAAATAAAATTACTTATTTTCTGAATCTCTTTGATCTCATTCTAAGAAACACCTAACTTTGAAACTATAATGCTACCCTCATGACTTTGATTCAGAGATGGCAATATAATTTCCAAAATAGATTATTCCTAGAACAAGATCAAAGAGATTTCAAAAAATATGCAAAACCTTAATTTGTTCCAGAATTTATAAAACAGATCAAAAAATTGTTGATATAATCAAGAAATTTCTGATGTTGGCCAACTTACTAATTATAACTTAATAATTTGTTTATTCAGTCATTGGAAAAATTTTGATTATACAAAAACAGCTGTAATTAATTGGTATCAATAATGAACTTTGGATATAAGGAATTGTAATACATTTAAATTTATATTAGTTTGATATAGTTTTTAAAACAGCTTAGTAATTTTATATAGTGAACCTCTTTCTTTTTTCCTGGACATTGATTCATTAAAATAGCTTATAATTGCTATTAATTTTTTAAATTATAAAATTTTAAACTTAACTTCTATTGATAAAAAATAAATCATGGATTAGTATGAAAATATAAAATTTCAATAAAAATATTTATGATTATATAACATTTACCTTTTTACCAAAAGTTACTTTCTTGGAAAATGTTCTACTTGCCAATTGTCAATTTTATCTGAATTTGTATTCAAGTTATTTTGATTATTAATACATAAATATGTAAGCTATTATTTATTAATTACTGTATTAACTATCTAATTTTTTACATATCACATGTTTAGATTTGATCTACATTAGAAAACCAATTATATTGAAGAATTTGCTAACAGACAGACATTTGTGTAACCCTTTTACTTAGCAGGATAGTCCTTTGGACAATAAATATAGAAATAAGTAGTCATATAATATATATAAAACAAAATACCCAATCAAAAGCTTGTATTTGTACAGAAACACTTGACTTGTCACTTAATCATACACTCTGTTCCTAATATAATGATAATAAGAAACTTTTATGCATTAGTAATAGATATTCAACTTAGTTATATTTATACAATCAATCAGCTTGATGCAATTTTTATAAAATAAAATTGCCACATGTCTGCATATATAACACATGCTAGATAAACAAAATATAAATCAAGATACTATTTTGCATATATTATTTCACTCTCTATATAATTATACACTTTGTTTTATTTAATTTCTAGTAATTTAATTGGTAATCAAATGATTTTTATGATTTAGATCATTCTTAAAAAACATAAATTATGTCAAAAATTCTATGATCAGTAATTATAATATTATAAATGTTCTTTTATGTATATATACATTGTGAGCCCCGATATCAGTCATGGCCTTACAGGACCAATCATTAAAATTAGGGCCCATCACCTACTTGAGTAACTGGTCATATAAAAAGTAAGAGAAATCTTATTTTTCTTAAAGAAAATAATCCTCAAATGTAAATAAAAGTTTTATTATAAATAAAGAGCTTTCTGCTCAAAAGGAAAGTAACAAGCTATACCTTCAAGTTAATACAGTTTTGTATAATAAACTTACAGTATTAGACCCATATTGAAATTAAATCTATATTCTAACCCAGACTAAAAACTATTATTAAACCCATCATCATCAACTATCATTTGTCTATTATTAAATCACTAAACTGCATTTAAATTATTTACTACAAGTTACATAACCAAGCTGTTAAATGAAGAGAAAGACTTCAACCTTGATTTGATATTTGTAATCCCAAGTTAAAGAAATAGAAAGAAAATAAGAGGAAGCAGAGGTTAATAGAAAATTGGTTGAAGGAAAGATTTAGAAGAGAAAAGTAGTACTTACTTACAGATAAACTATCTGCCAAATCTAATATGCCTATTTTGACTTAGCTACTATAGGTTATATAAGATTGAAAAGAATTAGTGACAGACTCACCAATTTGCAACACAATATTTGATGTTAACTGTAGATATGAAAATTAATAAAAATGTTCATTACTTCCTTTCTAAATTAAAAATTTTAAAGCAATCAATTTAAAACTAATAAGAAAGCAGAAGACTTATTAAATACTTCTATTAATTAGAGTAGACAAATTAGATTCAGATAAGAAAATAATGCTAGAATGAATTCTTAAAAGAGTAAAGGCAGAAACCATAAACAACAACTAGCTTAAAGATCTTATCAACAATATGAACTGCTTATTTAAATATGCTGCCAGAAACATTATTGACAGAAATAGGCCAAACATCAAGAAAACAAACCTTGTTAAGGTGAGAACTTTTAGTAGAAATGACAATGATAATTCTATTGAATGGATCAAAGATTTTGAACAGGCTGCAGAAGCAAACAACTAGAATGATTAATAAAAGTTGCAAATTGCTTCAGTATATTTATGAGGCATGCTTGCAGAATAGTATAAGAATAATCGGAATAGAATAACCTATTAGAAGAATGCTAAAGAAGAATAAAATAACTTTCACCCATTATTAGTCACATTCTTTACTATCTTTGAAAAACAATACAAATGGCAGCTGAAACTTAATACCTTAACCCAAGGCTAAAATAAAAAAGTTGATGCCTATAAAACCAAGTTCAAGAAGCTGCTAAGTTGAGTTGACCCAATACCTAAATTATACATCATATGCATGTTCTTTGAAAAACTAAAAGAAAGAACCATTATAATTGTAGCTGTAACATTATCCAAAAACTTAAACAAAGCCATAATCGCAGCAAGAAAATTGAAAGCCAATAATCATTATGACATCTATATCTCTGGAACTATGTCTTCCCTAATAAAAAAGATGAACTAATTAAGGCTCTAGTCAAACAAGTACAACAACTATCAGTGAATTATGTTGCAAGAAATATAAGAAAAAAAAAGACATATTTGAACTAGAGAAAAATCATGATAACTACTAAGAAATCATATGCTACAGCTGTAGAGAAATAGGACATATCACTAAGTATTGTTAGTCCAACAGATAACTATCCTGCCCAAATAGAGAATAAGAAGACTGCCCTAAGTTAGAAGAATGAATTATATAGTTTAAATAAAGATAAACAATATAATCTGGAGAAAAGAAAGACCCAATTCTGAGCTGATAAACCCCAAAAAAGGCTAAGATTACAAGCAGAATCGAAGTAGGAAAACTGACTAAGGCAATGTCAAGATGAAGAACCACCTCTATAGACTTAGACAACACTCCTAACCTAATAGAAAAGAATGAATTTTGACTAATTCAAAAACCTTGCAGAAGATGGGAACCCTCTGTAGTCGACAAACTGGTCCTATACAATATTGCTAAAAACCTGTTAAACTCACCTGCTCATGTTACCTATAGACAAATGCTCTAATACCCAAACTAACAACAGAATTTAGCCCAAGCAATTTGAAGACCTATTGCTATCCAAGAGGCTAGAGTGGTGAATTTTGGAAGAACCCAATAAACAATAGCTGCATACTGTTATGTTTGAATTAAGAGAAATCTGGTAAAGGCTATATTAGACTCTGACACTGCTATAAGCAGAATAATCAAGAAACTTTTGGACAAGCTCTGTTTAAGAATCAACTAACCCTCAACTATAGTAGTAGTTATAGCAAATGAAACAAGAACAAAGCATTAAAACAGATTAATGACCTCAAATTATTGATCAAAAATGCTGTCTTACCTAGCACTTTTCAGATAATCTAATTATCTGATAAAACTCTACTCTTTAAAACAGACTGATTTTAGAGGCCCAAGTAAGAATTCACTTCGACAAGCAACAATTGTTTTTGAAGTACAAGAAAAAGATGGACAAAGTTTCTATATCCAACAATAGTAAAGTAAAGTTAGAAAAGCTATAAGAAAAAGACCCTTGAAATAATAACAGTGGAGATATGTTTGATGGACTTACTAATAATAATGAAAAGCTAAATAAGCCATAGGGATACTATACTAAAGAAATATCAAATGAAGAAAACAAACTTTACCATAACCTGTAGAAGGATGAGACTAGCCACACCATTTATCTGATGAATATTGATGAACTACCCACTAAGGTACAAGATGAATCAACTGTAATTGAGCAATTGGAGAAATTCATACAAACTAATACTCTAGATGAAAAAGAAAAGAAAAAGGCATTAGAATTTTTTAGAAAAGAGAAACTATTGTTTACAAAAGACATACAAGAATTGAGTAAAACAAATGTAATTACCTACTAAAATAATACTGCCAATGCTAGACTAATTAAGCAATATGCTTACTAAATTATCCTGAATAAACAGGAGTTTGTAGAAAGAAAATTAGAAAAAATAGAGAAACAGAGACTTATTCAAAGGTTCAATAGCCTGTGAGCATCTCCAGTAGTAGTCATACCCAAAAAGGGTAGAAAATTATAACTATGCATAGATTATCATAAACTAAATGCCTTAACAAAGTATGACACTTATCTATTGCCCAGATCATCAATCTACTAAAAACCTTTAGGACCACCAACTGGTTTTTAAGCTTGACCCTAAAGAGTGGATATTGGCAAGTTAGAATGAATACAGAAGATTAAGAAAAGACAGCATTCATTATCTGAAGTAGCCTTTTCAATTTAATATAATGCTATTTTGTCTAAATAATACCTCAGCTATGTTTTAGTGGCTTATAAATGAGGCATTAAAGGAATGCATAAAGAAATTCATTGTCATTTATCTTGATGACATCAATATATATTTGAAGACATTCAATGAGTATCCGCATATCTACAAAAGATATTAAAAAATTTAGATAAGACTAAGTTAAAGATGAATATTGAAAAATATAACTTTTTTAAACCAGATATTCACTTCTTGAAACATGTAGTTGGCTGTAACAGAATTAAACCCAATGAGATGAAAGTGAAAAAAGTTAAGAAGTTTCCCATACTTTGAACCCTTTGACAGTTGAGAGGCTTCATCAGCTTAGTTCTATACTAGTGATGATTCATTTCAAATTTGCTATAATCACCAAACCTCTACATTACCTACTACAGAAAGGTGTTAGTTATAAGTAGGGAAATCAGCAACAGAACACATTTAAAAAATTAAAAGAACCTTAATTTTGGCATTCATACTCAAGTATTCTGACTTCAACAAGACATTTTACCTTCATACTGATGCTTCTGAAACCAGACTTGGTGCAGTTTTAGTACAAAAAGACAAAGAAAATAAAGAACACATTATCTTCTATACAAGTTAAAGTCTTTTTAAAGCTGAACAAAACTATTTGGCAACTGAATTGAAATGCCTTGCAGTACTTTGGACTATAGAGTACTATAATCACTATTTTAGATTTAGGCTGTTTGAGTGATAACAGACCTTTCAGCTTTGAAATAGCTATAGACTTTAAAATTGAAAAGTAGAAGAGCACAGTAGATCTTATATCTGCAACCCTACAACTATATGATTGAACATCAAGTGGGTAGAATTCATTTTAACACTGATGCACTATTATAAAGAGTTGAACTCAACCAAGAGGATCTAGCCAGGAATTAAGATCCTGAACTAGAAATATTAAGAGAACCTAAAAAAAAAAAGAATTAAAACCATTAGTTTTGAAATGGATAAGTCAAAAAAGAATAACAAGACATCTATCCTAATATGGCCACCAGCAATTGAAATGAAGAATTCAAAATGAAGAAGAAAACCTATATGATGTTAGCCAAAGGACAAGTAGGCAGAATTGAAATAATTATGAAGAAGAATCTGAGACAAATCATATAACCTGTATATACTTGCATAACTACTATCTTGAAGCTAGAAAAGCTTGGTAGGACCTAACTAAGGAAGAAAAATATAGGTTAAAGGAGAGAGAGTGCATTTACTTACTTGAAAATATAATTGCTAACCTGGAAGAGAAGAAAGGTTCCTATCATTATCTTAATGAAAGATTATAATTGTCTCTAAGAAACGAAGACCAGGATTAATAAATTGAAGAAGAAGTATATACAATAGATGAATATTTTGAAATTAAAGCAGATGAATAATTCTTAACTGCTATTGCAAAAGAGCAAATAATGAAGAATGCGTAATATAAGAAGGAAGAAGTTCAGGCATTCTTAGCTACTATCTGAAATGCATTGAAAATTGAAAATTATGATGACTGAAAATTGACTATAAATTGAATGAAGAGAAATCTACCACAAATTCCATTCTAGCAATGATATACTTAACCTGCATGATGATAAAAAATATGCTGTTGAACCTTATGAAAGAAAGAAAGATATATAATGATTCTTAATTGACTGCTTTAGAAACTCATAATGTAAATGGAACTTCTACAGAGGATAAGCAAAATAAAGACTCTTGCTCTATAACTAAAGATAAATTGGCATTAGAAAACAAACACAAATGATATGCGATTAAGCACATGAGAGAAGTTCATGCCTGCAGCCATCTTGAGAACATCTGTAGCCATGGCATGATGTTAACAAAAAATAAATCATTGATTGTAGTTAATGAATAAAAATAAGGTTACTTAAGAAACCAAGAGGAGCATAATGATAAAACAATATAAATAGATCTCTAAGAAAAAAAAAACTAATTAGCTAAAAATAGATATAAATATAGAATAAGAATTAGTTAAGATAATATAATATAATATAGAATCATATTTGCAAGTAGGTGCATTAAATTTGCAAAATATCCTTAGTGAAATATAGCTGATTAAAGAAACAACATTGTGATTTCTCAATAAACTGTTATAAATCAGAGTACAGATTGTTAATAATTGAAAAAAAACAATAGCACTCTTATGAAGTAAAAAAAAAAAAACAAAATCTTGAGGCCAAAGAAAAAGAAGATACTGCCTCTTAAATAGAATTTACAACTTGTGCATTACAGAACTAATGAATCTAAGGAAAGTTAGGATGCATTGAAGTGGGTTGTGGGACTTCAATTAAATTGATGCCAAAATTAGTAAAATAACTCTTAAAAAGAAGAAAAACAACTAGAAAAATGAACAGAAAAGAAAAGAATATTTAAATCTGACAATAAGTTCAATTCAGCCAAGTTGTTGGTATTCTGATAATAGAATAAAATGAAACATGTCTAATACAATCAGTTAAAAAGATACCTACAAAACCAAATCATCTTACAAGACCTAGATAAGAAAAAGAAAAGACAGTTTGTTAATAATAGCAAGACATTTTTGTTAAAGGATGAAATAATTTACAAGAAAAGTAAATATTAACCAAAATGTCTGCTGCAAATAATCCAGAAACCTAAAATTGACTCTATACTATTGTTGCTGCATAAACACCCTTTGGAAGGTTATCTTGAAGCTGATATGATGTTTGAAAAGATGCACAAGACATATTACTGGCTCCAGGCATTCAAATATATATGGCAATATGTTAAGCCCTGTATGCAATACCAAAAACAAAAAAGAAATAAATTCTGTAGCCTATTACATCCAATTTCTGTAAATGCCACATTTTACCAAGTAGGAATTGATATTATAGAACCCCTCTTAATCACACCCTTCTCAAAAAGATATATTGTTGTAGCCATTAACTACATAATAAAATGGTCTAAGATGAAAGCCATCGAATCAGCTAATATGAAAACTATAGCCAATTTCATCTTTAATGAAATTGTGTATCATTATGAATGACCTAAAAAATTATTATCAAATTGAGAGAATCATTTCTATAATTACCTAGTAGATAAGCTGCTAAGAAAATTTAGGATTAAACATCTACTGCCAATCTCTTATTACTTTTAAATGAATGGTCTAGTCAAATGTTTTAACAAAACACTCTGTAAATCCATTACACAATCAATTAATAAAGTTAAAAACTGGAACCTGGTTATTCTGACAGTACTCTTTGCTTATCATACTGTGAAACATTCAAGCATAAAAGTTTTATCATTCTACCTAATGCATAATCATGAAGCTCTACAATCAATTGATTATAAAAAAGAATTGTTAGGGGAATGATAATACAAAGAACATTCTAATTACTAGAGACCCTATCAATAATTTAACATGGTACTGTTATGCGAGTTTAGTAGGTACAACAAAGACAAAAGAAAGCATATAATAGAAAATCAGGCCACCTTCTGAGTTATTTATAGAAGACAAGTTGTGGATATATGAAGCATTGAATGAGTATATTCAAAGTGTGAGGCTAGACCCAAATTAGAAGAAAATGTTCTACATTTATGAGGTTATATACTTGAATATGTACAGGCTACAATCCTTGCAAGGAAAGGTCCTATTAGTGCTAATCAACATCAAATTGCTAAAACTATATATTTTATAGGTATACTTCTAAAAAAACCAACTCAGCGATTAGTAAAAAAAAAATTAATAAAAAATAAATAAAATAATAATAATAAATATAATAATATAATAATAATAATAATAATAATAATATTGATGGAATTATTAATTACAAAGAAGAAAAGGGCCAAAAGAGGCAAGACAATATGAAATGAATATAATAAACATTGATGATAATAATAATACAAAGACAAGATTCTTGATTTGTAATTAGAAGGAGAAAAAAGGCTGAAAAAGAGAGAACAATAAGAAATGAAACATGAAGAAAAAACAAATTATCAAATTACCAAAAAGAATAAAAAGAGCTGAATATTGCTAAAGACAAATGCTAAACCTGATTAAAGAATAAATCATGCTGATTATGTGAAATAAAATTATGTACAAATTACACTAATACTGGTCATCTGTTGTTACAGTTGCACTCCTATCCTTCGAATTAACTGATAATTTTACTGCTAGCATGACTCTTGCATATATTTACCTGAGTAGAGCTCTTAGACTTCACAACAACTATGATGCCCTGCTATATATCTACTATTTAGGCATGTTATATACAAGTGCAACTTAGCTTAATAAACAACAGTTCTGGAAGATAGTTATTTAATATTTTTTTTTTTTTTTTTTTTTTTTTTTTTGATTTTACCTCCCTCCACTATCCTGAAGGTCCTTAGACACCTTTAGGATCTGTCACATCTCTTAAAGGCCAGAGTTATCATTCTGCGGAGATCATTGGATGGCAGGTGGCCCTTATATTCATCACTGTGCTCATGAGATAGCTCATGCTCTGTTAAGTTCATCATATGATGTCCTGGGTCCCTGGTTCCGTGGTGTAGAACCTACTATCTTTATTCGGTTTGCAGTTCTCTAACTTCACATGACCCATCAGCTGGATCATTCTTCTATTATTCATTTCTTTATATTACTTTAAGCTGGGAAACCTTATGTTAATGACGTTTCTTGTCGGATTTTCCCTTTTCTGGGTGCCGCATGACCTTTGTGGCTATGTCACATGACTTATTTATCATTGTAGTAATCCGTCCGAAAGTGGAAAGCTTCTCTTAAAGATCATTTCCAATCGTAGTCCTGGCACAGCTTTTATCTTCCAGTTGGACTCGAACTGGCAACCTTGCGATTATGACCTCCAGAGTGCTAACCATTGCACTATCGACCCAGAGGTCGTTTTATTTAATATTTTCTTATTATATCATTCAGGTTTATGATATTTTTCTTAAGTATGACCTAGAACAAATCTATCAGATGCAGAATTTGGCCTTTGAAGATATACAGAAGTTGACAGCCTCTGACTTCTGCCAATTATTAAATGATGTCTCATAAAACTTGACACCAAACAAGAAAGAAATGTAAGCTCCAAAATCAGTTATAGCCTCTTATGACTGATCATTGAAATTAGGTCCTGTTGCCTACCTGAGTAACTGGTTACATAAAAAGTAAGAGAAATCTTACATTTCTTACTTTTATTATTTTGGTTACTTTAGATAAAATGGTGGTATAAGGAGCATTAGGTTTTTGGTTATTATAATTAGGAAAGAGATGAAGCATTGAAATAGATAATATAGAAAAAATAATTTTCAAATATAAATAAAAGTTTTATTATAAATAAAGAGCTTTTTACTCAGAGAAAAAGTAATAAGCAATACCCTCAAGTTAATACATTTTTGTATAATAAACTTACAGTATCGAACCCATATTGAAAGTAAAACTATATTCTAACCTAAACTGAAATCTATCATTAAACCCATCATCAACTATCATTTATTTACTATTAAATCACTAAACTACATTTAAATCATTCACTGCAAGTCATGTAACCAAGCTATCAAATGAAGAGAAAAACTCCAACCCTGATTTGATGTTTTATAACCTCAAGTTAAGAAAGTAGAAAGAAGTTAAGAGAAAGAAAAGGTTAATAGAAAAATAGATTGAAAGAAAGATTTAGAATAGAAAAGTAGTACTTACTTACAGATAAACCATTCTGCCAAATTTAACATGTCTATTTCAACTTAGCTGCTATAAATTACACAAGGATTGGAAAGAATTAGTGACAGACTCACTGATTTGCTGTATAACAACATAAATTTAATATATGAGTAATAAAAAAAGAAAGCCTGTAAATCATTCTTCTTATTGAGAAAAAAAATGATGCCTTTGTATGAATTTCTACTATATTTGACAGTTAACATATCTGAGTTTAAATTTTGCTATCATTAATGATCAACCAATTAAGTTGTATAAATTTGATCATTCCAAATGATCCCAGATCAACCTAACAAAACAAACAAAGCAAAAAAAAAAGAAAAATACAAAAAGTTTAGAAGTTGAATTTATATATAAATAGCTCTCTAACCCTGATATAATATTAATTTGGATCTTTCTAACTTAATATTAGCCAAATTAAACATTAAATCAAAAATTGCATCTCAGTGAGATGAGACTAGAGGTGGGTTAGTTATGGTTATGATCAGTCAATAACTGGTAACATAGGCAAAATAGTGAGTTAGTCACTTGACAAATAGATATGTTGTATAATCTAAGAATGGCTTAGTCAATAAGAGGTGATTAGATTTGATGAGTGGTATGTTTATGATTATAGATTTTATAAAGTAGCAAAGACTAGAGAATTATAAGGATCAAACTTCATTACAAGCATGAACTACTGCTTTTTGTAGGACTCAAAGCCTTTATTATATATTGGTTTATTACATATGCGATCTTTAAGATACTAAATGTATTAAATGTATTATATTCCTTATATTTCTTTAATGTCTTTAATTACTTAAAACCCTTAAATCTCATATATATCTTTTACTACTGTTTTCTTTTAAAACTTTTATTGCTTCTATATCTCCTAATGGATCAAAAAGACTTATAAGATCAATAATCTCAGGAAGCCTATATTAGATAAAGAATTGGCATATCTGTTCTGTGCAACTTCGATTACCTTTTTCTAGGATTACAGTTCTACAGCTCATACTGGTCATAACCACAACTAATATCAGTCAGTTATAGATTTGTGACCAACTGGTTAAAATTCTAACTGATACTATTTTAGCAATATTTAATTAATTCATTACAATATTTGCTATTATATTATGCAATAATAAGCAATTTGAAAAATAATAAATAAATTATTTTTTTCTTGATGTTAATCATATGTAAAGATGAGCTTAATACTATAATTGATTGTAATTATAATGAATTATAGCATTATTTGTTGTAATTCATTATAATAACTATAGCATTTGCTTATGTGCTTTAATATTCATAAATAAAATAATTTATTTTAACTAAGAAAATAAGTCTTAATTAATAAATTTAATAATAATACTTATACCAATGACTGTGATACTCATGATTTAGAAGTGTAATGAAAGATGTTTAAAGAAAGTCAGTAATCTAAAAAATCACATATGAATAACTTTATTTTATATCATAGTATTCTGTTTTATCTTAAGTTTCACATTATAATTTATTAATAACATAGCTACAGTTATAATTATCATACTGAACTTCCCTAGCATAATCATCAAAAAAACCTAGATACATCATCTTTGTAACTTAGATTTGCTAATTGATATATTCAAAATTACTATCAGCTATATATTAATTGTTATCATTATTATTTTTTTTTTATACTTAATGCAATTGATAATGCTACATAAATTACATATCTGAGGTTTTTTTGTGGTTACATTGTAGTAGTTTATTATACTGTATACTAATTCTGATTAAATATATTAAATATGCATATAGATCTGATTAATACTTGGATGGATAGAAATCTTTGTCACAAACCTAACTAATAACTAAGCAGTTATTGTCTGGTTATATGACTAGTTATATGACTGGTTATATGACTAGTCAAATAACTGTGATCAGTTAGTTATGAGTCAATGACTACTAATAACTGATGATAACTGACTACAACTAACTGAACCTATCTCTAGGTAAGACCAAAAAAGATTGTTGTATACAGCAATATATATGAACAATGTCTATAAAAAGATTAGTAAACATGGATATATATGTCTATAAATAATGTTTATGGATATATGTTCAAAAACATTATTAAATAATTAGAAAACATTCCAATTGGTTAAAATTAAAATTACCTTTGTCTTATGATTTTACTATATTAAAATATAATCTATTGCCATTATTTATGTATAAAATTAGAAATAGTAAAATGGGTAAATATTCAGATCGCATCTCTAGAAAATATTATTATTTATAGAGAATACAAAAGCAACACATATATATAATATGTGCTAATAAACTTATTAAGGTTTAAACTTCTAAGCATGAGTAAAAACTTGTAATTTGTATATAAAGACTTACTATAATTAGTTAAAGATTTTACTCTTATACTTTTTCATTAGCTATAAAGCTGAAACATTTAAATATGTACATAAATGATCTAATCAAATGCATACATTTAATACAAGCATTTTTTTATACTAAATTAAAATGAACTAAATGCATATTAACTATTCTAATTCTTTTTTATTTTATTTATTAATAAAAATTCATTGAGTTATCATGTATGTCTAAATTCAAGAAGAAAATTAATTATCATTGAATTGTATCAAATTCTTTTTTTGAGGATGTGGCAACTTAGTGAAGTGGATAAGTTATCATACCTCCAAGTGGTAGGTTGTAAGTTCAAAACCCACTAACAGTAAAATTTGGATAATCACCTATGTAATATATAGATAGTATTATGGTGACAGCATTCTGTAAATCAGTTTGGATAGGATATCTGTAACTATGGTCACATCAGCATAACTGGCAGGTTTGGGGCATCTGTGTAACCTGTTACACAGAGGAATGCAAACTGGTACTGGGTGGTGCAAACCTAAAATAAGTTCTCAGGCCATGTATATCTGTAGAACTGAAAAGCTGGAGCCCACTTGGAAATTTCAAGCAGAGAGGTAACACAAATCTTCGATGGTACTATTATAAAGGCTAGACCTAGGAAATAGATACCAATGTGAAGGTTCAGGCAGACAAGAACCTCGGGTGAAAGATACCACCAACCAGGCTGCCAGATTTCAGATTGAAGGAAAAGAATATTGGGCTGACCTCAATATACCAAGAACAGGTCATAGTTCTTCTGGGCTATCTGAATTGGGAGTCTGGGTTCAAAGCAATGGTATACTAAAAGTACTAAGGATATGCTGTAAAGTTTGTACTGGGGTCTGGGTAACTCTGCAAGAGTAGCCTGTGTTAGTGTTCTAAAAGTAGGTAGATAGTTAACAACAGGGTAGGTACCATATTGCTCAGACAGTATACTGGTTAGGTATATATGGAGGGTTAGTTTGGAATTCCAATATAACAAGACAGATGATCAGAGGGTTTAAATAAATAATCTTCTAGTGGTTATAGGTATGGCATCTAGTATAGAACCTTAGGGCAGACTACTTAAATAGGCAACCAAAAGTTGCATGTGTAACTAGCTATACTCTTATCTCTGTAAAAATAGTTGTAATAACTAACTCAATATAAAGTCAATAAAGTATTACCACAAGTATGGCCTTTAACAAAAAAAAAAAAAAATATTTTTTTTGAATTAGGCATATAGATATTGCTAAAATAATTTATAGGCACAAAAGTGCAAATTCGTAATTTATGTTTTTTTCTTTTATTTAACCAATCTATTTAATAATAGCTTGAACTTTTTTTAAGATATTCAAAATTTGTTTTTTTTTGTTCAGTAAATACTTTGTTTTTTCTTGAGCAATCAAATAATTACATTACTTTTGTGTATTAGATATTTTGATAACATTTTATTATAATTCAATTCTATCATTATGCCACTTTTATCTTTATCTTAGACAAATTTATTGTTAAGACAAATGAAAAAATAAACATGCATAATACAAAAGTATATTGCAAATCTTGTATAAATAAATTGGGCAAATCAGAAGACACAAAAAATTATTATTCTAATAAGAAGGATTGAATTATTTCATATTTAAAAAAGTGTGCTCATTTTAATGCAAAATCAACAGTTGAGGAAAGAGAAGAGATCTTTAAACTAACTGATATTTCTATCAAAAGTAATATTATTTATTTATTTATTTATTTATTTATCTATTTATTTTTATTTATTTTTTTTTTCTTATAATTTATAAGAAGCTGATCAAGCAGTAACTTTAAATTTATGTTCTTCAGCATCAAAGATTATACAATCATTATCTTCTGGACCAATAGATAATTATATTATTAAAGGATTGTCACTTGAGGATATAAAAAGATTTTATTATCTTTTATTTCGACTTACAGTTTTTTGTGGATAGGCATTACAATGGGTAAACAAACCTAAAGCGGCTAAATTGTTTGAATTCCTTAATCCACTTCTTAAACTTCCTAATAGATGTTTGCTTAGAAGTTGTATTTTAAATGATGCAATTAAAGAATCTGATAAAGCAATGTTAGTTACATTAAAAGAAGATCATGTCAATATTATACTTATATTTGATAGATGGACTAATGTTAGAAATGAGTATTTGTTTGGAGCTGTAATAATTATATCAGAAGGTAGACTATATGTTTAGAAAGCACTAAATATAAGCTTTGAGCATGAAACATATATAGAAGTTATTGAAAAATTAACTTAATGCTTGCTGAACTAATTATTCAATTAATAAAAATTAACTAATAGTGTGAGTGTATATGCAGCTGCTAGGTATTTTTGTTTGTTAATTTAAAATAATCAAATAAATAAAATAAATAGAAATTAATTAATTCTTTTTATAGACATCATCTTAGAATTACAAAAAGATCAATTGTTTTTTTGCCTTGTTATGGTTATCAAATAAACTTATGCATTAGTAAGTTTTTAAAAAGTCAATTGATTTTAAAAAAACAATTGATTAGACAATTCGCCTTGCTTCATATTTTAGAAATCTGATACATAAGTATTTTATAGCAAAATTAAAGAATGAACAGTTTGTTGAGTATAAAAAGTGTTTTACAATTAGTGCTTCTGGTGAAACATATTGAAATAGTCTTTATACTATTTGTGCAAGTATTTTAAAATCACAAAAAGCATTGCATGTAAATTTAAATTTATATATATATAATACTTTATAAGTTAAAATTATTATTATTAATAGTTTATTTTTTTAGATTCTTGCAATTAAATATGAACTGCCTATTGCAGAAACTTTACATACTATAGCAGGACCAAGATTAAATCATGAAATATATGAAATTATTAGTTTTATAAATTTTTGAACTAATATTCATTATGTGTTTAATATTTTCAAGCTATATTGTATAATTTTAAATAAATTGCAATCTGATAAAGCCTGATTATATCAAGTTATTTTAAGTTTGGGTTATCTTGCTCAATTTTGAAATGATTATGATAATTTTCAACTAAGTACTCAGCTTGTACTATGTATAGAACATTGATGGCAGGATTGGGAACAACCTTTATTAATTATAGCCTGTCTTTTAATAATATTATAGAAAATTATAACTATATAAATTTAATAGTTTATAATATTTTCAAATCTAATAATTCTACTAAAACACACTAGTGATATTCAACATTAATATGTAGTATAATATAAAATTATTATTAAACCAAATTAAATTTAATTAATATTAAAGTTAGAACTAAGATTTAAGATAAAAGAAAAACATAATTTATACTAAATTTTGCAAGAAAAATTTTATCAGATTACAAATTGGTTTGATTTTTATGTTATATCTGATTTTGATGTTATATTGCAAATTATTAATTTTATTTCTAATTTTAAAAGGTTTAAACAGTATTATAAACTATTATATTAATATAATAAAAACAAACTTAGTAGATTAAGCTTTTATCAAATTTGAAAGGATAATGCTATTAATAAGATTAGTTTTAAGAACTTACAGATAGTTAATTTATAAGTAATTATTATATTTATAACAATAAATAAAAAATAATCAAATAAATTAATTACTTTAAACTATTAAATAAAATAAATATTTATTGTATACTTATTAGTGAGTCAAATAAAATAAGTAATTTATTAATTAGCTTATGAATATTTTTACTTAATAAATAACTGTGATTTTAGTAGTAAAATTTTAATAATTTCAATCTAAGTTTTGATCATTGCTATTAACTAATTAGAATCAAGAATCTGCTGTAACAGCATTGTTTTATTAGAGAATTTTATATTATTAATTTGTAGCATGACTTACAGAAACCAAATAAAATTTTATTATATATATGTAGTTTTTATTTAAAAGTAATGTAGATATTTGTGGTGGTAGTGATAAATATTATTTGAGTGTCGCTAAAATAATGATGGGCAAATTATGGTTTTTTAAAAAATCCCATGTGTCACATGTGGAATTTATTAAATCTAGGTGCCACATAGTTGAACCTTAATTTTGATTGTTTAATGACTGTAATTTTATGAGATATATAGTACCTAGAGATAGGCAATTCATGGTTTCTCCAAAAATCCCATACAAAATTCATTAAACTACAAATTTTTAAACCTTCTAAATTTTTGATCATTGCTATTGGCCAATCAAAATAGTAAATTTTCATCTATTTTTTGCAGTAATCACATTAAGCATATTCTTGGTTAAAGGTTTTATTTGATTCAATTTTTGTAAGATAATTCCAAATATTATTATTACTACCAATGTTATTTATTTTTAAGAGTGACTTAATCATAAAGAATATTTTTGTAATATAAGTAAAAGATTCCAATGGCAAAGAAGGTAAATTCTTATCATATATATAAATAAACATATGTATGAAATGGTATGCAAATAAATAAATAAATTTTAGCTAACTATGTTAATACAAGGCAGATATTATTTTAATACTAGCCAAATATTATGATAATTCTAGTCAGATAATCTTATTTTGAAATTATATTTAAAATCCCACATGAGATGCATGTCCATCTCTATGCTAAAAGAATACTCAAATATTTAAATATAAATTATATTTAAATTTTTAGGTTTTTTTTTAGTAGCACTCATTTACATATGTTAAAAATTTTATTTTCTAACATTAACACCATCTTACTCAAACAATATAAATTAATTTGGAAAAATGTATTTGTCACTCCCCTCTATTACATTAGATTTTGTTATAGGTCACATTTGATTGATTAATTGATATAAATTAACATATAATCAAATAGCAAAATTAATGATTTATTTTAGTTTAAACTTTATTTATATATATAGTTAATTACTTTAGATTATTGCAACTTATACTTAATTTATTAAAAACATACTCTAGCCATGATTTAAAAAATTTTTGAGATGCTATTAGGTTTTTCTTTTTTGCTCTTTTTTGTTTTCTACATTTTTTTTTTTTTTTTTAGTAAAATGTCTTGATAGGCTTGGAATTGGTTAATTTTGAAACAAGGTGGTTTGAGTTAAAGATTTTTTTCCTATCTTTAACTAACTAAATTTATACACTACTTTGGCTATATTAATACTTTTCGAAAGGCATTTTTATAGTATTAATATATGTTCTATGTTGGTTATAGATTCATAAATGTTTATGTTACTCATTTATATATATATGTACATATATACTATTATTTTATACTTGTATATAGCATTGTATTGTTATTTATTTACAAATTAAAATATGGGTAAAAGTAAAATAAATGTAAAAATAATTAAGGACAATTTTATGTATCAATATTTATATATATACATAAGTATACTTTGTTTTAATTTGGTTTTGTGCTATTACCAGCACAATAAGAAATATCTAGTGTAAATAGCACCAATCTTAGGTAGTATCTACAAGATTTTTTTAAGCACCACTGGTCAATTTTACATACATGCTGTTTTTTTGTTTTAATTGTGAGCTTTGTACTACTACTAGTACAAATAAGTAAATTTCAAGTTAGAGATAGGCAAAGTTAGTTACATATTATTACTTAATATTACTTAATATTATTATGAAATAGGTAATAATAAGTAATTTTATATATAATAATTGATTTTTCAAAGCAATTTTTCAATTTTATCATTCGCTTCTGACTGTTATCATGTGTTTTATATATATATATAATAAATAATAGAATGTAATAAATATTTAATATTAAGTAAGAGATAAGTCTTAAACTTCACTATCAGAATAGATAAAATATGATCAATAATATAAATACTCTGCTAAGTAAATAATTAGTGCAGCCAATTAGAAGTTGGAGGTAAATTAGTAAATTCATAAATCCTTGTCAAAATGACACTAATTCTGAATAGTACTTATAAGATTTTTTAAACTCTGTAGGCAATTTCTAATTAACAAAAAGTTGAAACAATAAGCTTATTATAACGACATTTGTAAATTTATATAAAATTAACATAATATATAGTGTTTTTTTGTTCTTGTATACTCAGTATCACAAAAAAGTGTTTTTAAATTTCGAAAATTATTGTTTTAAAAAATATTAAGAACTCAAATAAAAAACAGTATGAATAATATAGTTGATAGTGAAACCAATAAAGAGAATAATAAAGAGAGTAATAAAAAGAAAAATAACGAAATGATTATTGATAACAAAAACATGATTAATAATGAAGATAATAATAATGAAGTTAATAATGAGATTAATAGCTTTTATGAATCTATTAATAATAATTAGTTTAAATTACGAAATTATAAAATCTTGTTTAAATTCTATTTATCAAGTAATAATTTTTTGTTTTTTTTTTTAGAAATAACATTTTATGATTTTTCTTTGTTGAACATTGTTTATACATTCTGAAGTTGAAGTGATGTTAACTTTTATCTTAAAGCTTATAATTGATATTATGGATTTACTCTAATTAAAAAAAGAGTTGAAAATAATAATGGAGTAATAAAGTATTGATCTTTGGGGTATGAATTTGAAAGAAAACATAGTCCAAAAAAAATATTGACATTAATACTCATTATAACCAATGTCAAAATGCTAAGAATGTCAATAGCACATAAACCTTAATTTTTCTAAAGATACCAATTGTATAACAGTTACTATATTTATTAATTATCACAATTATGAACTGCATCCAGAGGCCTGCAAATATAGTACTAATTTCTGGTCAATTAGAAAAGATGCATTAAATGACTTTGAGTTTTATACCAGAAAAGACAATTTATCTATTTTTGTACAATGTTAATTGTTAAAAGCTAAGTACTCAGATATGATCTTTTTAGACATGGATCTTGCAAATGCTAGTTTACATTTTAAATTTAAATCACAAGATCTTGAAGCAGATGCTTCACATATTTTTTCATTTTTTACCAAAAAACAATCAAAGTAATCTGGTTGGATTGTTGAATTTGAATTAGATAATGACAACTGTTTAATACAGCTTTTTTGGATGACCTCTAAACAAGTGTCATTTTGGCTTAAATATTACAATATTATTCTTAATAATAATATTACCAAGACAAATAGGTACCAAATGTCATTTAGTTTATTTCTTCTTGTTGATAACTATACCAGATCTTGGTTAGTAGCCTAAGTATTAGTATCAGATGAATCTGTTGAATCTTATAAGTGAATCCTTCAATGTACTAAAAAGATTA